CGAGGCCTCGTCCTCTTCGAGGGTGAGGGCAACTCGGGCTCGGCCGAACGCTCCAGCCGACGAGGCTGGCTCGGGCAAATGCTGCACAGCCTGCTGGGAGGGACTCTCGCCGGGCAAGCCAAACAAAAAACAGGCTGCTTCCTCTTCCGCATCGCGCGGTCCAAGAGGGAGAGATGAGGGGACAGCAGCTTTAACGATGGTACACGACGACCCGGACGAAGGGTCGACGACTCGATCATGCTGCTGCCCCTGTGGCGGTGCTGACGGGGGAGGATCCACCTCCAGCTCCACGTCAGCTGGGACTGGTGTCCCCCCTGCAGCGGTGACTAGCCTCTGCACCAGCTTGGCTGTCCGCAACTCCCCTTCTTGGTCGGTGAGGCGCCGAGGCCGCTCCTCGTGCTCCAGGTCTTCGTACCAGGGGCCGACCTCAACTGAAATACCTTTGCGCTTGGGGTGGCGTCCAGCCCCCCCAGAACTCCAGGCGGACTTGGCGCCCGCACTCTGTGGTTGACCGTCACACTGTCTTAGCAAATTGCGAGGCTGCCCGTGGGAGGACTAGGCATAGCATCGCATACACATAGTGAGGGCAGCACCATCGGAGCATAGCAAAGCGATGCAGTTGTGCCTGAGGGCTGAAAGAACCGCGGAAGTCAGCTTGTAATCTCTAAGGCACTTCCCAGGGGCAGGCGGGTCAAGACCTCCAGGCCGAGAGCCGTCAGGGTTCTTCCGCGGTACGCCCTTGGCAACCTTGAGACATCCAATGCACTGCCAGAACAAAGAGACACGAGTCCACTGGTGGGACTCCGGTTCTATTTTAGGCCTGGGGGCTTGGGGACAAGCGGGACTCCTGTCAGGTTGAGCCGAGGCCACTCTGGCATCAGCTCGGCCGAAAGACGCATGACACACTGGGCGATCGAGAGGCATCGCTCCAGCCATTCCACATCCTCGGGGTCGGGTTGCGGGTGGCGGGCTAGCGAGATTTTGGCAACAACATCAGCTAGGTCGTTGCCTCGCTTCCAGAAACGCTCTAACTCGGTGAGGTCACTGGATTCTTCGACATGTGCCTTGACTTTAAAACCCCTTCTAAAAGCTTGCGGTGGGTGGGGAGTAAAGACCCTGAATACACACGCTGGTAGGACAGAGCCCTGAGCAGCGGCTCGTTGGCTTGTACAACCACATTCTTGCAATCAGAGTATATTGAGCTGCCTGGTTGAGCATGCATTGCAGCAACAGCGTAAGCCCCAAACTCTCCCCCTTGGGCAGTCTGGAGGTTGGGGGCCCATAGTGGACAACGAATGCGACAGATTTCGTCTCCGTCGTCACCTACCATCACGATCCCCCACCCAGCCCTGGAGAGTTCGTTGACAGTGTGCGCAACGCAAGACCCGTCCACGAAGATGTGTCCAGATATACTTAGCGATTTAGAAGAACGGTTATTGGCCCAGATGATCTCGAGGCCAGTGTCTTCTACATCATCACGAGCAGGAAAAAGAAAAACGTCCCCTGGATGCTGAAACAGGCCCCGAGTGTACAGCAAGTGGTCTTCTTCGTTGTTCTCGGGCGCGAGGTCAGGCGGGGGCAGGAAGGAAAACTTTGGCTTGGAACTGTCAAGCACCGCCTGCCTCTTGCCATGGCACGCTGGGCAGAACCAAAGCCGATGAAGCATGGTATCAGGCGCACTCCCACAAAGCTCGCAGACCGAACAAACGGCATACCCTGCATCGGCGGCTCTGGTCCTGGTCCACGTGGCATTGCAAGCAACAGCCTTGGCACAACCTCGCTGGTACGGCGTGCCCTTCTTGGAGCACAACGTAGCTGCCACAACATCGTGGCAAACTCGAGCTCCTGGAATATGCGAGAGCAGAGCAGCGCCGCTGGCCCTCTCGTGGGTCCTCTGAACAGCAGCCTTCAACAGCTTCTTAAGAAGGGCTGGGGACGTCACCGTGAGCGAAACCTCAGTTCCAAAATCATCCAGAAGGGTACAGTAGTTGGGCATGCTCCAAGAAATCCTCCTCAAGGCCAACTTCGTGGCCCCTAGGGGCCCACGAACCCCGCGCCAGATTTTGGGCCCAGGGGAACAGAAAACAACCCTCCAAGCGTCCCTCAGCTCAGCCCACGGGATGACAAATGGGAAGAGCTTGGTTTGGTTGGCCCGAATCTCCTTGGAGTACCTCACGATGGGCGCCACAGCAGGGTACCAGGTCGGGTCCTGGGATAAAATCAGGACAGAGGTCCGTGACCTCATCTTGGCAGATGGCTGCATGGTACTGGCGGCGGCGACCTGCAGTCTGTCCCATTCGAAATTCGAGAGCCCATGAACCTCAGACCCGAACGTAAGACTGGGGAGGGGACCCGCGGTAAAAAAATTTGACAGCATGCCGCCCTTGGGGCCGCTTGGCTCGCTTGAGCCTTCTGATTTTTTGTTGAAAACTCGCTTGCGGTCGGGGAACTCTGTCTCTCTGCCGGGAAGCCGACGGGAGGAACCTGGGGCAAAGTCGATGCCCAAGTTGACGGTCCCTTGGATGATGGGCCCCGCGAGGCCGCCGAGACAGTCCCTGACTTGCGTGGCGAGCGCGTCCGACGAGGCAACGAGGGAAGCTTTATCTGGGAAAATGACCGCCCCCATATCGACCTCGATGGCTTCCCTGAGGTTGGCCGCGGCCTCAGGCTGGTGCCCGACAATGTAGGCATTGGACCCGTTGCAGCTGAGACCGTAATCGTCAATGTAAACGTCGAGCGTGATACCTGGTGGCAGCTGCAACGCGCCGAGAGCAGGAATAGCACTGATGCGCACCATGGTGGTCGCTAGACCACAGCCGGCGACGACGCCGTTGGTGACGTGGAACGGGCCGACGACCACGCCGCCAAGAGAAATAAACCTGCCATGCCGATATCCTTGCACAGCAAGCCGAGCTAACTGGACGGGGAACTTAAATTGGTGGCATCGCTGAAGGAGCGTGCCCAAGTGCACCAACTCGAAAAAATTGTCGAGGCCCCGCAGAATCGCGCAGCTGGCCTGGCTGCTGGCCACAGCCCCATTCAGCTCGCAAGGTCTGCCTCCAGACAACATCGACAGCGGAAGAAAACTGGGACCCAGCGAATAGCTGCGCTGAAACTTGCTTTCCCACTGGGCCGCGTAGGACCTGCGGCGCCGCCCCCAGAGGCGGTGAGAGCTGCAGAAAAGGCCGATGGGCCGATGCCCTCCAGAGGGTTTGTTGAGAAGGGAAAGCACAACCAGGGAGGTTTGCCCTGGAAACAGCCCAGAAGCTTCCATGATGGAATACATGGTGCCCAGGACATCCAATGACCCGTCAGAAAGAGAGGCAAAGTGTTTCATGTGGAAACCGTCAACAGCAGTGGCAGGACGAGCGGCATACCGCCTGGAGGCCGACCGCAGGGTTTCAGCAGTGAGGCGAGGGAGGGGTTCAACGAATTGGAACTTGGCCTCCTGCGGGGGGGGGGGGGGGGTCGGGGGGGGCACCCCATAACTGACTGAACTTACGGGCCTCCGAGGCCAGCAGCGACAGGGGGTCCGAGACGACAGCTCCATCTCTGCTGAGGGTCGTGGTGGGGGTCCACAGCTGGCTGCCTCTAACATGCCGGTGAGCTCTCCTGGCGCCCTGGCCGATGGACTGAAGAAGCCGCTCCTTCCACTCAGCGGGAGCCTGCGATTTGGCCTGCACGGCAAAAGTCGCGAGGTGCTCGGCTGAGTCAGAGAGAATGGATTCCCCAAGGGCGAGGTCGAGGAGATCATGTTGACCTGAAAAAGACTGCACCCGCATGACAAGGTCACTGTGGACATCCAGCCCCTGCTTCAAAAAGCTAGGAGGTTCGAGCAACAACCTCCGAACTTCCTGGGACTGGGCGGATCCTATAGCAACCGCATCAAGTTGGAGAAGGAGCCTGAACTTGCTCACGAGCCATTTGATCGAAAACAAATGGGGCTGTCGGTGGGGGGCCTCCCGATCTTGATCGAGAATGTTGGCCCAATGCTGCTGTGGCATCTTTCCCCTGCTCCCCCAACAGGGCAGGGTGGTTTGTCTGCCCCTCGCTAGCTCCTTCCCCGAAAGGTCGGCCCAGTGCTTATAGAGGGCGCCGAGCAGGCACTGTACAGCGTGCACGTCACCACTGTGGCAAGCATCTAAGGCACGATCAGCTTCGCTCTGAATAGCAGTCCCATCTGGAGGTGGAGGCACAGGACCGATCGCGGGCTCAATCGGCAACGGCGGGGGCTTCCGAAGGACGAGCCCGTGGAGCCTCCCAATCCCTGCGTGAAACTGCATCTGCACGGGGAGGTGGGTGACGAGGTTAGACGTGTGAATGGCACTGACGGAGGAGATACCTTTGGCAAGCCCAGCAGTGACGATAAAATAATCGAGCATGCTAGTGCCACACGTGCCCACGACGACTTTGGGGACGACCACCTGCGCCCCCAACCTGTTGACAATCCCTGACGAACCGATCTTGTCGGGGCTCATGTTTGAACCAGCTCCGATGATGGTGGGTAAGCCTACCTGCTCACCGACCGTGCCGATGCATGCTAGGAGCTCCACGTTGGCCTCCGAGAGCCCCTCAACGTACGCAAGTAGGTACTGCAAACGAGGGTGGGATCGCCGCCAGGAATATGCACAACAGCTCCGATCGAACGATGACGGTCGATGATATGGCCTCCAGGAGGAGCGTGACATCCCAAGGAATTCTGAACCAGGATCCCGACCCCCGACGAAGTACCGCGTCCTACTCCTGGAGCGGCAGGCCCAAGGATAGCTTTCCACCCATGCCGATGGGCCCAGCCTGTAGCCTCCCCCAGCTCAGCCTCACGCAAGTGGTGCTCTTGGATCAAGAGAACGTGGGCACCGCACTTGGGGGGCCAAGCTTTGAGGCCGCCTCCCGAGTCGGATTGCCAAGACGTGACGCTGGCAGTCTGGATAACGAGGTCAACACTAGAATCTCCAGGACTGGGTTCAGGGGCATGGAAGGGAAAACGCTTGGATGCCTGAGAGCGTTCTACGTCGAGGCCAGGGGTGGCCTTGGTAAAACCTTTTTGGCCCTGGGTGCCGAACAACCCAGGGGGGCCGCGCCGTTGCCCAGGGGGGGGGGGGGGGGGGGGCCGCCCGCGGCCAGACAGGGACAGGCACTGTCCGACTTGGCAAGGGTGGCCTCCACAGCTTGCGACAGGTTGAAAAACTTGCGGGCGTCAGCCCACAGGGCGTCGAGAGAGCTGCGCACTCCGTCGACGCTGTCATGATGCGACCCATGATGGGAAGGCGTTCTGAGACCGTGGATTCCGAAACCACCCGAATCAAAAGTTGGGGGCGGGCAGTGACAACTCCTTTGGGCGCTCACCGTGAGAGCGCTGAAACTGGCACACGCATGCACGCATGGATGTGTGGCCAGACTAGGCGCTGGTTCCTCCCCCCACCCCACCAGGGGCAGGGGGAGGAGGTTGAAGGGCCTTCTCTGCCTTGGCCCGCGCATCGTCTGCTGCTGGGGCTCCACCACCAGCTGGGGCAGCCTCGGCGGCCGCCGTGACAGGGGCAGCTGCAGGTGCCTCACGCGGCTCGTCATCAGTTCCAGCATCTCCCCCAGCCGCTGCCCCTTGGTCAGCGCGCCGCCGCTTGCTGGCAACTCGAGCCAGGTGCTCCCGATGTGCATCTCGGGCAGCTTTGGCAGCAGCCACCAGGGGGCCCAGCAGGTCTTTGGCGAGCTTGGAGACGCCCGCGTTGAGGTCCTCCTTCCGCTTGGCGATCTCTTCGCGGTCCTTCCCCTCAAGCCCGGCGTCGCCCTCAAAGAAACTAACCTCGCCCACTGTGAGGAAGGCGCCCAGGTCGAAAGCATCAGCACACAAGTCTTCCAGCTTGAGCTTGGCAGGGGCTGGCGCAGCAGGAACGGGGGCAACAGACGCCTGCTGCTGCAGGTCCGCAACCAACGCCTTGTACTGCTGGTCAGCTGTGGCCAACTCCTCACGCATGCTACGCACCGTGTCCCCGAGCTTGGCGACGTCGTTCCTCCATCCCAAGAGCTTGTCCACCTCCCTGTCTAACGCCTTCTCCAATCGAGCCACAGCTGCGAACTGCTGCTGCACGCGCTGGTGGAGAGGTGTGGGAGGCTTGGGCGACTCCTGAGCATGCAGCTTCTTGAACTCGGCCTCGTACTTGGATGCCGTGGTGAGGCCACCTCCTTTCCGTGCGAGATCATCCAGCTGCTTGGCCTCGGTCGCGTTGAGCTGGCTCTGTGGTCCAACAGGAAGCGGGGGTGCCCTGGCAGCTGAGCCTCCAGGATGCCCACCTCCGTGCCCAGCTCCAGCAGGCTGTCCAGAACCTCAAGGGGGCCCAGGGAGGGGACGAGAGAGCTTGGCCCATGGTGCCGTCGCAGAGAAGGCGCCAGGAGGGGCCTGCGACCACGCCCCGCTCTGTGGGGCTCCACCTTCGACAGGACGCACAGCAGCAAGAGGAGTCCCGCAATGCTTGCAGTAGCGGGCCTCCTTCGGGTTCTTAGCACAGCCACAGGAGCTGCACTTGAACTTGGAATATCCTTCTGCAATCTTGTCCGTGTACATGTAGGCGCCGTAGTGCCACGGGGGGGCCGTGCCGCTGGACCAGTCCTCTCGACCACGTCCTTTGCCACGCCCGACTCCTTTAGCACCACCATTGCGCAGGGCAGGCGGGGGTGTCATACACCCTGAAGTCAATCACTGAGAAGATCCGAGCCAAAAGCCCGTTGACGCAGTGTGCCGCTCTGAAGTTCGCGTCAACAAGCACAAAACTTGTGCCAGAACGGCTGGAGGAGGAGGAGGAAGAGGAGGAGGAGGAGGGGGAGAAGGAGGAGGAGGGGAAGGGGGAGGGGGAGGAGGAGGAGGAGGAGGAGGAGGAGGAGGAGGAGGAGGAGGAGGAGAAGAGGAGGAGGAGGAGGAGGGATATGGTAGATTGCACTTGGCGCCTTGAATTGGAAGTGGTGGCACATGTGCCTTGAGGTGGAGGTACGGGTCACCCCCCTTTACGGCCGTCTTCGTTTGCCGAGGGGCCGTAGAGGGCTCCTCGACAAGATTGTCTACACTTCCCGATGTGTGTGTGGCATCCTTGCGCGGGGCCTATGCTAATCCATTCTGCCTCGTCCCAAGTTTAGCAGACGACAAGGCTACTGGCAGTTCTAACGCCTCTGCAGGCTGCGGCCCCCAGGGGAAGGCAACGGCGGGCACTGGCCGCGCGGCCCCGAGGCGGCTGATCCGAGCGCGGCATGCTCTGTGGAGCCCTGTGGGGGCATGGGGGCGGGTCGTGCCGGACGAAAGGGGGGGGATTGGGAAAGGGGGCTTACGAAATCTGCTGCATGCAGCTGGTTTCGGCCCCACCGAGGGGCCCATTCCTCGGTACATCGCCGCCTCTGGAGCCAGGGGGCGCCGGGAAAGTCAGCTACGTGAGCTATTTCTCAACCCCCCCCTTTGCTATCCCCCCCTTTCGCCCGGCCCGAGTGGGGGGCACGGCACGCTGGGGGGGTGCGGCCCAGATATTCTGATGCTTGATTCTAGTTATCCCGGCGTTCTCCTCCGACTGCTTGAGCGGGGCCGAGACAGCGACGAAATCGTTCCAGAGCGTTCCAGAACGCTCCGAGCGGTCCTGCATGCTCTGCGAAGATCTCGGCGACCGGTGCGTCATACAGAATCGCTGGATCTCAGTTTATCCCAGTTTATCCCTCTCCGATGTTGCTCAGGCGGGAAAAAACGCACAGACACAATTGATCGTCGATTCCTCAGAAAATATGGGACAGTATGGGAAGTGTGTGTGGGGGGGGAAGACGAAGACCCAGAAGATCTGGGAAAACATGCATGGACTCCTGGGATTTGTGTGTACTCAGTTGCGTCTCCCAGGGCTGTCCTTTGAGTTGCCCCCTGCCCTGGCCGGCCGGGGGCAGGTAGCCGCCCCCCTGGGCGCGGGCAGCCGCCGGCGCTGGCCCCCGCTGGGCGCGCTGGGCGCCGCGGCCGCGTGCTGCCGCGGCGCCTCGGCCGCGGCCCTCGCCGCCAAGGAGCCCCGGGGCACTGTGTGCGTCCATCGCTGCCTCCGTCCGCCCTCCTCGCTGGCGGGCCATGGCTTTACGTATCCGCCCTTCTCTCTAGGAGGAGGAGGAGGAGGAGGAGGAGGAGGAGGAGGAGGAGGAGGAGGAGGAGGAGGAGGAGGAGGAGGAGGGGGAGGAGGGGGAGGGGGAGGGGGAGGAGACATGAGGAGGGAGGTATCCCAGGAGGTGCCTCCCCTCAGCGGGAGGAGCAGTGGCGGGGGGAAGGAGGGCGAGTACCACGTACCTCCTCCTTCTCGCCTCTCTCTTCCTCGTTGCTCCCTACTCCCTCCATCCCCTCTTTCGCTCGCGATCTCAGGCTGGGTTGCACGGCATCTCTCCAAGCGGTCATTGCCCCTGCGTTTTCCGATCTCCGAGTGCCTTGGGCTCCTCGGGATCTCTCGGGTCATGCTTTGCATTGCGTTGTATTGCATTGTTGTGCACCGCATGTGTAACACTCTGTGGTTTGCACTGCATAGATTTACCTTGCCCTTCTTTGCTTTGACTTGCATTGTGTTGTAGTGCCTTTCATTTGCGTTGCTTCGTTTTTCATGGCAGTACTCGTCGCCAGCTGCGCTCCTTTCATTGATATTGCGTTTTCTTCCAATGGAACCATTTGCAGTGCATTGTGTTGACCTTGTATTGGCTTACCAGTGCCAGTAGAACGTCTCTGCCCGGTTCGCGTTCATGATCCTTCTTCAACGCGTATTAGATGTTTATTTTCAAGCTACGTGTGGGTACGTGCTCGCGCGCAGCTGTGAGCTTGTCAAGGGCTGGCGCTCACTAGAGCCTAAGCGCGCGCGAAGCGCGCGTACGCGTTTTGTTCCGGTAAGTGTGTGTATGCAGATTGAGGGAAGGGATTGAGAAGGAGCAGGGGAAGGATGATATGCTGCTGCTGACGACGATGATGATGGCATGCTGCTGCTGTTGCTGCTGCTGCTGCTGCTGATGATGATGATGATGATGAACATGATGAACATGATGATGATGCTGATGCTGCTGATGATGATGATGGTGGTGGTGATGATGATGATGATGAACCTGATGCTGATGATGAGGATGATGAGGATGATGTTGATGCTGATGTTGATGATGCGGATGCTGATGCTGTTGATGATGCTGATGATGCTGATGATGATGCTGATGATACCGTTGATGACGATGATGACGAAGATGTTGCTGCAGCTGCTGCTTCTGATGATGATGATGATGCTGATAATTCATATGATGCTCATTGTAAGGGGAGGAGATGAAGGTGGAGGAGAGGGAGGTGAAGGAACATGGATGCAGGGGGCATATGTAATAGGGATGAAGGATGGGCTGAAAAGGATGAAGTAATGGGAGGTGGATCTATGGAGGAGAGTGAGGACGAAGAATGCTGGAGGGGGAGTTAGAGGAGAAGGAGGAGGACGAGGAGGAGCAAGACTGGAGCAGGCGGAATGGAGTAGGAGGAGGAAAACAACTCCCTCAATGCTCCCACGTTTGTCCATGCTCCCTCCCCTCCTCCCTGTAATCTCCAACCTCCCCGTCTCGGGGCTTATCCCGCCGCACTGACCGATCTTCCTCCTCCATTCCTGCTTCTCTCCCTCCCTCCTCCCTCCCTCCCTCCCTCCTCCCGATTGCCCCTCCCTCCGTACGTCACTCCCTCCTCTGCCGTCTCCTTTCTATCACATTCCGTCTCTGCCTCCTCCGACCAGGAGAGCCGAGCAGAGACGCGCATCATCAATGGCACCGTCGTGAAAAACGCGTCCGAGAAGTACTCGTTCTTTGCCCTGCCTACTAGTGGGCCCGACTCCAATAGGTGGGCGTTGCTTTGCGAGCCCGAGGAGGATGTGGGGATAATGAGGAAGTGGAGGACAGGGAGAAGGGGGTAATCGTGATGATGGTGATGACGTTTCGGATGAGGATTCGTATCGATAATATTTGCCAGAAGGAGAGTCGGGAGAAGGATGAGGATGAGGATGAGGATGATAATAATGATAATGATGATGAGGCTAACTATGTTGGTGATGGTGACAATGGTGATGATGATGGTGGTGATGATGGTGAGGATGGTGAGACTGAGGAATGCAAGCCTCGTCTGCGTCAAACATAACTTGACTCGCTGTTCAACATCGAGCGCTCGATAGTTCGCAGTCGTCAGAAGACTCGTTCTTCAATGCTGTCGGGGTATTGCTGGATTTCGGACACCTCTGCGTTAGGGCCAAATATCTCATAACTGTAGTGAAGTAGCGCTGACCACGCAAGCACCGAAAAAAACCGTCAGTTTTTGTTTGACGAGACTTGTATTATTGATCATGGCTGCCAGTGCGGACCCCGACTAGTGAGGTTCAGCACCCCAGATGTGAAAGATGCGTGGTGCAATCGATGTGGTGCAAGCTGTGTGCTACAAGCTACGTGGTTCATGCCATCATGTGGTACAGCAGTCTGCGTGGTGCAGTCTTACCCATCGGTCGTTGAAAGTAGGCGCTTTGGCAGTCCCAGCTTCCAATCTACTTGAGGCGCCTTCCTACTCCAATGATCGAGTGGCCTCACCTGTTCCGTTCTCCTTTAGGGGGCGGACGCAAACCCAATCCATGTTCAGCGCCTTCCTGCTCCATGTTTCTGCCCACTCCACACATGGTCCATAAATCCACATTGGCACCCGTCCGCTGTGGCCTGCTTGCGCGTACTACAGGAGGACCTGCTTCATCACATGGGACAGCTTGATCACAGACCAATTCTCGAGATAGAAAGACTTACAGTCGGGGCCCTGAAGAAGGAACACTTTCGGTTGGGGAGGGGCTCCGCGTTCCTTAAGTGTTTCACAGCTTGCCTCACGTTTTCCTTTTTTTTCGATCGGAAATCGAAGTTTAACCTGTGGACAAAAGGGGCCTCGTTCCTTATGTAGGGTTCCTTAGGTCAACGCCCCGACTGTATACCGACCTTCCCGCTCGAGACCTGGTGCTCCTGCCCACTCCTCCCGACCGAGGGGCGACGGCGCAGGCCGTGCGCTGCGAGCTGCGTGCGGAGCAGGCCTTGCGCGGGCGGCGACGCGGCGCCCACGGGCGGCGCCCGGGCGAGCGCCCGGGGAGGCCGGCCCGCGAGCGAGGCGCCCACGAGGCCCCCCGGGGGCGGCGAGCATCGGCGGCGAGCGAGGGGGGGAAGCGTCTAGGCCTCCTAGATGGGGTCGGAGCAGATGGGGTCGGAGGATTGTGCCGCATCGCCGATCGCCGATGCATCGGCCGATGCGGCGCGACCCTCCGACCCCATCTGCTCCGACCCCATCTATGAGGCCTCTAGAGCGAGAACGGGGGGAACGGCAAGTGACACAAACAGAGGAACTCGGAGGTCCGCGCGGATTTCTCGGATCCGCGCTGGAGCCCCCTGGTGGCGCCTCCGTCGCCGCCCCTGGCGCGCTCCGCGCGCCAAGGAGGGGGGCCCATCGCCGACGCGACGCCGCGGGCCAGGCCGGCCGGCGAGGCGCGGCGAGGACTGCGGGGGGCTGTGAGATCGAGCGGGCAGAAACAAAGACAACTACTTCCCTTCTTGCGCTACGTTGTTCTAGGCCTCCTAGATGGGGTCGGAGTAGATGGGGTCGGAGGATCGCGCCGCATCGGCGATGCATCGCCGATGCGGCTCGATGCGGAGCCCGATTTTCTCCACGCCGACGCCGCCGATACATCGCTGTCGTCGACGCCTCATCGCCGGTGCATCGGCGATGCATCGCCGATGCATCGCCGATGTATCGCCGATGTATCGGCGATGCGGCGCGGTCCTCCGACCCCATCTACTCCGACCCCATCCAGGAGGCCTCTAGGGGGGCTATGAAATCGAGCGGGCAGAAACAAAGACAACTACTTCCCTTCTTGCGCTATGTTGTGGGGTTTCGATCTGAGTTCTGCGTGGTCGAAGTGCTGCGCTGCGTCGGTCAGGGCGTCTGCTCTCGCGCGCTCGGTTCGAGCACGTGAGAGTGCATGGGCGTGGCGGGCGGGGCCCAGGCGCGGCGGGTCACGGCTGTGACAGATTCGGGGGAGCGTAAGACCCGGGTTTGCCAGGACTCGGGTTCGCCATCGTTTTTTGACGACCGCGACTCGGATTTTGACGAGGAGGAGTTTCGTGGGATGTCTGCAGCGGGAGGCCTCGTCAAAATGCAGGCTCGGCCTCGTCATTTTTTCGACGACCTCGTCGGGGATTTCCGAGTCCCCTGTACCCAGGTCTTACGTCCCCCTGAAAGTTGACTGGGCCAACCACCCTCGCGCGATTGAGATCTCAGTCCTGGCTGCGCGACGTTCGAAGGCAAAGCCGCGGATATCAGACACACGTCGGGCTACGCCCCCGCTTGGCCCGTGAGTTGGACGACGGCAATGGGCGCGCAAAACAACGGCTCGCCGTGGCCATGCTTCTAGTTTGTTTTTGTTATGTCATCTGGAAGGGTCACGACATGTTCTCCCCCCTGAAACATTGCGGGAGTTGAAATGCATGGGGGGGAGGGGGGGGCGCTCGTTGTGCTGTGCAGTGCCTTGAGCGGTGGCGCTGCCAGCAGGCGTGAGAAACAATGAAAGTATGTTCCAAAGTTTCGCATGTGGCTTCACCTATGCGGGTTCCGATGCTCACTCATGATTCCACGTTCCTTATTTTTTGCCGGGCGTACTCGGGCGAAGATCTAGTGGGCCAAGTTATCGAGGTCGCAAGGGGCTGCCGCCCGAGCGCGCTCGGTGCGCCTGCAATATGCATGCACTTGGCGTTTCACCTCGGCCGAGCAAAGCCGCGCGTCTGCACGTGGCGATTCGCGCCAGCGCCCCGGCAAGATGGCCCCGGGGCGGCCCGGGGGGGGGGCCCGAGATGGCCCCGAGACGTTCCGAGCGGGCTCCGAGACGGCCCGAGAGGCGCCCGAGACGGCCCAGGGGGGCCCCAAGACGGGCCCAAGAGGGGGCCAAAAGGGGGGGCACATTCTCATTTCGAGCCCTCAGCCCCCAGTCGCCCAAAGACGCTTCCAAACAGCAGCAGCCAAAAGGCCCCGAGAGGCCCCCAAGAGGCTCCACGCAATCCCCGAGAACCCCAACAAAGGCCCCCACGAGGCCCAAAACAGGCCCCACGAGGTTCCAAGCTTGCCCCCAAGAAGCCACGAAAGTGCTGCCATGAGGCCCCGAAACACAGACCGCGAGATCCCGGAGAACGCTCGCGGGACCTCAGACCGGCAGCCCAGGCACGGTGGCGGAATGGGCCGAAGGCCGCTAGAGTACATATATGTAGCGACAAGTAAGGCAATCCACACACATGGGTTTACGTGTGAACCCTAGTATGGGTATGTATTATGTACAAGTATGTGTGCGCGCATACGCATGCGTATATGCGCAGGGGGGGGCGTTTTCGTATCTGACGAACGTGGACAAACATTTACAAGCTCGCACATTGCTCGCTTACGGCTGAACGTGCGCACGCACGCACGCAATTGCATGCACATGTGTATGTATGTACATACATACACAGCTTAATATATATATATATATATATATCATAACGTAACATCTGTACTATGAAGACTTTATATATATATATATACATACACGCCGTCACATGCGTGCAAGCGTGAAGGAAGGAATTATCACTGCGACCCCCATGGTTGCCGACGCCATCAACGGCGCGCGCCGCATTCCCCCCTCCCAGCTGATGCCCAATGTCGCCCTCAGATTTGTTGGGCACATGGGTTTCTGTAAGATATGCCTAAACCCATGGGGCGTGCCCGCGTAAATTGAGACCAGTGGCGGCCATATGTTGCGCCAGGGGCCGCACGGTGCGCCCGTGGCTCGTTGGTGGTTGCCACAAGGTGCACGCCGGCGTGGTGTTCCATGGCGGTGGGCCAAGTTGCATCCCGCAGGTTGCGCCATGGGTGGTGTTTTCGGAAAGAGCGCCAGTGGACCGCCTCACAATTGAAAAGGGCGGGGGGGGGTCCAGACCCTCCCCCCTTTCTTCAAGGGGGGGGGGGAGGGGAGGGGGGGGGCATTTCGGACCCCCCCCTCCTCCAAGGGAGGGGGGAAGGCTTCCAGAACCCCCCTTTCTTCAAGGGGGGGAGGGAGGGGGGGGGGGATTTTCGGACCCGTCCCCTGTGGCACTGGAGACGGGGGGGGGGGGGGGGGGGGGCGAAGGGGGGGGGTAGGGTTTCGGAGTTCGGATTAGAGCTTAGGGCAACGGCTAGGGATTAGGGTCAAGGTTATGGGTTAGGGTCGGATTTAGGGGTTAGGGTTAGTTCTTAGGTTAGGGTCAGGGATTCGGGTTAGGGCTAGGGGCTGGGGTTAGGCGTGAGGGGTGGTGTTCGGGTTTAGGCTCAGGGTTAGGGTTCGGGTGAGGGGACTCGGGGTTAGGGGTTCGGGTTGAGGTAGGGGTCGGGGTTAGGGTAGGGGTCGAGTTAGCCAGCCCGAACGAGCCAGAGGGCTCCGTCCACTCCCACCCGCCCTCCCACAACATAAGAAGCAAATGCGTTGCGTTCGACGCCTGTCGCTCATCCTGTATCGTGGGCGGCTAGACGTTCAGCGCGCGACATGACCTGCGTCTTATTCCTGCCGCGTCTTATTCCTGCCGCGATGTGCGCCGCGCCCCGCTGCGGCCTCTCATGTTGCATCGTCAGCGACAACATCAATCGTTTCGCTCCTGCCGCGCATGGAGGAGGGGGAGGAGGAGGAGGAGGAGGAGGAGGAGGAGGAGGAGGAGGAGGAGGAGGAGGAGGGAGAGAGGGAGAGAGGGAGAGAGGGAGAGATGGAGAAACTGAGGAGGAAAATCTTCTCACTGCCTCCGTTGGGGTGGGCGCGCCTGCATTGGGACAGCGGAGAAGACGCTGCCGGCGTGACGGGCGAGCAAGCCCCCAAGCGAGGCTGCCCGACACGCCGGACCCACACCCCAACCGGCCAGCAGCGAACCACACCCACCAGACCAGGGAGGGCGGGAGGGCAAAAGCGGCAGCACCAAAGCCGCCGGGGCCCAGAGCCCCAGCCTGGCAGAGCCGCGGCACACCCCGCAGGGACAGACGAGGCACGCGCACTGGACAGACCAAGTCCGCCAGGAGCGCGCCTGCGTGGCCACGGCGAACGCGGCGACGAGGACGCCGGGAACTTGCTACCCCGCCCCCGCGCCGGGCGGCAAACCACAGAGCACCGACGACACGCGCCAACGCCGCCGCTCCTACTGGAGCCAACCAGGCCATGAGGAAACCATGAATCTCCCCAAACGGACCAAACGACCAACCGTGGGAAACTACGGCCGAAACGCCGATTTCCTCCCCACGAAAGAACCTTTAGGGGTAAGAAAAGGCCGCCGCCGCAGCCGCCGGTGCCCGCCGCCGGTGCCGCCGCGCCGCCGCCGACGCCGCCGTCGCTGGCGCCGGTGCCGCGCCGCCCGCCGCCGCCGCCGCCGCCGCAGCCGCTGCCAAGTCGCCGCCGCTGCAGCCGCTGCCGCCGCAGCCGCTGCCTCCACCGCCACAGCCGCCGCCGCCGCCGCAGCCGCCGCTGCCGCCGCCGCCGCCGCTGCCGCCCCCGCCGCCGCCGCCGCCGCCGCAGCCGCCGCAGCCGCCGCCGCCGCAGCCGCCGCAGCCGCCGCCGCCGCCGCCAAGTATATTTTGTATCGTCTTTTGACAGGGATGGTGGGGGGAGGCCGCAACGGGTTGGTTGCGCACGCTCCGAATTTGGAGGCAGAGTGTGTTCTGTATGGTTTTTTTTGTTCAAGGCATGGTGGGGGGTGCCCTCACGGATCCTGGTTGGCTACCAGTCGCCTGGGAACAGTCATTGAAGTTTAGTTAGGGTTAGGGTACGGGTCAGGGTTAGGATTAGGGGTTAGGTCCGGGCTAGGGTTTGGGGCAGGGTTTGGGGTTCGGGTTAGGGTTGGGGGTTAGGGTAGAGGTGAGGGTTCGGGTCGGTGTTTTGGGTCAAGTTAGCCAGCTCGAACGAGCCAGAGGGTTCCGTCCACTCCCACCCGCTTTCCCACAACATGAAAACCAAGTGCGTCGCGTCCAATGCGTGCCGCTCATCCTAAATCGTTGGCGGCTAGACGTCCAGCGCGCAACATGAGCTGCGTCCTCATCCTGCCGCGTATTGCGCAACGTCGACGAGAAACAAAACCGCGCGCGATGTACGCCGCGCCCCGCTCCGGTTTCTCATGTTGCATCGTCGGCGACAACATGTCCAGCGTGCGAAATGCGCCGCTTCTCATTCCAGCCACGCGTATTGTACCGCCAATCGTTTCGCTCCTGCCGCTCATGGAGGAGGAGGAAGAGGAGGAGGAGGAGGAGGAAGGGAGGGAGAGAGGGAGGGAGGGAGAACCGGAGGAGGAAGAGGATAATGCTTCTTGGGCGTTCGCGGTGCGTCCTGGGAATTTTCTGGTATGCGCCTGAGGGTCTCTTGCATCTATCTTCCAGGTTGGAATATTGTTAACACAATTTATAACCCCGCAATCTTTCAAAAACTATATGAAAATCAATATTTGTGTTGCCTCCCAAAGACCTCCTGGGCGCCTTTTTTTCTACCTCTTGGGGGTCTCATGAAACACTTGCTTGAAACGCTCTTGTTTGAGACATCATGACTTGCCGCCCGCCCAGCTCCTAAACCCGACGCTGCGGCCCGTCGGGTTTAGGAGCTGGGCGGGCGGCAAGTCATGATGTCTCAAACAAGAAAGTCCATGTTGACGAGCAGGCGTCCCCGCGCGATGCGCGCCGCGTCCCATTCCCGCTGCGCGGTTCGCAGCGCCGTCGAGGAGACAGTACATGATGGAAGGAACAACATCGACGTTCCAGTGTTTTTTGACAGGTAGGACGGGGGGTCCCGCGTATGGTTGGCCATTCGTCCGCGCGCGATGCGACAAGAACGTCAATATTGACGAGAACAACGTTGACTTTGCATTTTTTCTGATGGGTAGGACGCGACCACCCGCTGAGGGTAACCGAAGCCATGTCCATTCCGTTTCAGTAGTCCTTCTACATGTTTTGCAACTCGACAACATGTTGGCGAGAAAAAATGAGTTAGTGTGGTTGTTTGACAGTTCGGAGGGTGGGGTTGCTATCGGCCGGCTCGGTGGGGACGTGGGGGGTTAAACCATAGGACGTGAGGATCGGGTTGAGGGGTTAGGGTTTATAGGCCTAAGGGCTAATCTGAGCTGAGGGATTAGGGTTACGCTAAGGGGTTAGGGTTAAGGGCGTTGGATTCACGCTTAGGGTAAGGGTTAAGGATTAGGGTCAGGGTTGGGGGCTAGAGTAGGTTTAGGGGTTCAGGCTGGGTCTTAGAGTTAGGGTCAGGGATTACGGTTAGGGTTAGGGGCCAGGATTAGGGGTAAGGGGTACGGGACGGGTTAGGGGTAGGGTTTACGGTAGGGGGTAGAGTTAAGTTAGGGGTTAAGGTTTAGTGTCGGGGCTCTTAGAGCAGGGGTTCGGGTGGGGATTCGGGCTTGAATTTAGGGTTGGGGTCGGGGTTTGGGTGGAATGGTTGGGCGTAGGGTAGGGGTTAGGGTTCGAAGTGGGGGGTTGGGCTAGGGATAAGGGGTTAGGGCTGGGATTAGGCGCGGCAGGGATGGGGCGCCAGAGCCAGGCGGCGGCAAGGCGAAAGAGGGGGGGGGGGCTTGAATTTCACACTCAAAAAGGGGGGGGCGGGTCGGGCAGGGCGGGGGGTCGCCGGCGACGGATCGGGAAACGGGGGGGTCCGCCGACGATGGAGTGGGAAGGGGGGGGGGTCCGCCGACGACGGATCGGGGAAAGGGGGGGGGTCCAGACCCCCCCCCCTTGGAATGATCCAGCGGCGCGCCCTCGCGGCTTCGGCGGCGCTACAAAAAAAAATTACATGGAAACTGGAAACATATTTTTAGCTACGCAGTGCTAGTTTCAGCTAGAAGAAGCTAAAGAAAGGTATCTCGATTACCAACAAAAAGCTATATCATAATTCCTTCTCGGTTCGCCGGGGCCGGGCCCGCCGGCGGGCCGCCGGGATTCACCGGGAGCCCCCCCGCCGGGCCCGCCGACGGCTGGCGAGACGGAGCCTCCGGCGGCCGCGAGGTGCCGGCGCGGCCGGTTTTGATAAAACGCGCCGGCGCGGCCCCAGCCCGAATTTGCAAGACGCGCCGGCGCGGCCAGGCCCGCGCCGGCGATGGCGCGCCAGCGCGGCCAGGCCGACGACGCAACGCTCCGGCCCGGCCGGGCCGGGATGCGCGACGCGCGCCAGCGCGGCTGGGCCCGGCGCGAGCGAGGGGCGGGGGGGGAGGGGGAAGACGAAGAGGAGGAGGAGGAGGAGGAGGAGGAGGAGGAGGAGGAGGAGGAGAGGAGGAGGAAGGGGGGCGGAGGAGGAGGTGGAGGAGGAGGAGGACGAGGAGGAGGAACAGGAGGAGGAGGAGGACGGGGGAAAGGGAGGAGGAGGAGGGAAGGGGGCGAGCAGGAGGAGGGGGGAAGGAAGGGGGCGGCGGAGCAAGACGACGACCGCGAAGGGGAGGAGGCGGGAGAGGCGGGCGAGGGTTCGCGGCAGGCAAGGGCGCCATCGCGGCACGGCGAGATGGGCGCGCGACGGGCAGAGGGGGGGGGGAGGTTGGGTGAAAGAGGAGGATGAGGAAGAGGAGGAAGGACCGAAACGAGGAAGGGGAAGGTTGGTGAAGGGGTTGAGGGGGGAAAGGTGGAAGAGGCATTGGGGCGCGTCGCGTGCAAAGCCGCACCGCGACCATCGCCGTGGCGTCGCGTGCAGGACCAGCGCGGCATTCCTTGTTGATTTACTGGCGCGCGGGGCCGTGATTTGATTCGGCACGTCGCCGCCGCGGGTTCGACGTCGCCCATCGCGCGTGCGCGTCCCCGTCGCATCGGAAACTAAGCAAAAGCTAGTTTTATCGATCTCGGAAAACTATGTTTTTTCCGTATTTGTAATATATCATATTGCCGTATTGATCCCCAGCTGTCTAAGGCCATCCGGTGTGACAAACCTAACAAACATTGCATTTGCGTGGATTTTCGCCGCCCGAGCGCAGTTTAATAGGTCGGTGTTGGACCCCCTTGGCGACGCCTTTCGCGCCGCCCCTGATGCGCTCCGCGCCCCAGACATGGGGCGGGGCGCCGCCGATCCAAGAGACCCGCGCGAACTTCTTGGAATTCATGGGCGCATCGGAGGCGTTGAAGATGGGGCTGAAGGCTAGGGGCGCGTGTTATGTTGGGGGCGTCGAATATGGTCCAGGATTACTTGGATAATTATGGGGTGTGTGGGCACGGCGACCGGAGCCACGACATCCTTCAGACGTGATGGCCCTTTTTAGTTTGTTTGTCTTGTTTTTTGTTCCAACAAATCCTCCGGCCTTCCCTCGTTCGCGTATACACCTGAGGCCAAGATGCGCCAACCCCCATGCTCCGGAACCTCCCTGGTCCTGGCGCCCCCTTCGTCGCATTCGACCGTGCAAAGTTGTGTTCCTCTATCTTCCCCGCCCTTTCCCGTCCGCGGTGGTTTTGGCCCGACCGCGCAGTTGTGGCTGTCGGATTTCAGCCCTTCCCGTCCGCGGCGTTTTCTCGACTCATGGAATGCCAGAGCCTTCGGAAGCGCAGGGCGGACCACCGCGGCTGCCAGCCAACTTCGGCGCCTGCCAGGTTAGCTGCTGTCCGTCATGGGCGCATATGTGCCGACCATCGTCGCGGCTGCTGCGAGCGCTGCTGGCTGAAGGTGGTCTGGGAAAAGTCGGCACGTATCGTGGGAAAGGCATCGATTAGGGGATTCGATTGGATACGTTCGGGGCGGGCGCCGTTTCGAGGTTTTCTGGCGTTTTCGTGGTTCCCTGCAGTTTTCCAGCCCAGGGATGCGTTCCAGCAGCTGCGCCTCGCCGGGGGCGTTCCCGAGATGCCTGGATCGTCCCGAACGGCCGCCGGAGACCCGAGTTAAGACCCGAAAGCAAGAGTTCGACGATCAGGGTCAGAATCGAAGATCAGAGTCCACGTTGGGGGGGCATCGACCCCCAATCGCCCATTGATCGCGGATAGGGGCACGACAGCCTACCCCTACTCAGGACCATGCGGCCTCGTTTTCGGGGGCCTATCGCCGACTCATCGGCGATGTTTCCCCTTCTTGAGCCAGTTCCCCCTATCGCTACCCCTCATCGTGGGAGGGACATCGAGGGCTTCTGGATATGCAAGGCCACCTTCGGGATGAGCTTTGGAGGTGGCCGCCATGTTGCTGTGATGCCTGCGACTCTTGCTGCGGGCGGGTCGGGTGGTCTGTCTGTCTCGCTGCTCCTCCCGCTCGCCGCACGACCTCATAGTGTTTGTGTGTTTCACCCGGGCTTGGCTGCGCGCGCTGCCGCAATTTCTAAATATGAACCCCCGCTGTGCCTCTGCGGGCCTTTTGGGTTGGCCACAAGCTCCTCCGTTGAAGATGGACCGCGTCGGGCGTGGCTCGCATGCGGCAGGTTCGGAGTCCTTGTCATACAGTCCCGTCGGCATCAGTTCTCGAGGCAGGTATCTTGAGGGCTCGGAAGCACATTATCTGACTGCGGCTCTTGCTTATAACCACTTGCGACCATTTGCCCACCTTTTTCATGGCCGTCCATGACACTGACTCCAATCAATGAGCGGCCATCCTGCCATCCTCGGCAGCCCTTGCCAGCGAAACCGCACAACAGGCGTGCCTCTCGCTCTCTGTGTGTACTTAAGGGCCCGCCTCCCTCTTGTAGGCAGGCCAATGCCCAACTTGCTTCAGCTCTCTCCCCCTCCTCGCGCTCCTCGTGTTTTTATTCCCCACTGGAAGCGCGTATGTGCAATCGAAGCGATCGCTGATCGCGACAGTCTGCCAACGAGACCCTGCCGCATGCTCCTCGCAGGATGCGAGCCTGGCACTCTGCGCGCGCGAAGCGCGAGTGTGGCTATGAGCTATAGGGGTCAACACTAAGGGCTCTTGAGGACCTGGGGCTCACTCTCTATGCTCTGCCTGCGGCATTGGCGGATGCGCTGTCGACGCTCACAGGGAAGCTTGGAAAAGCAGTTGGGGCCAGCTCTTCCATTCTGTCCAGCCCTAGCAAGGTTTCCTCTAGTTGTTCTGGCCATGGCGACCCCATCCCAGCTGTCTCGGGTCCGTTTCAGCCCCTGCCAGTTTCTCCAGCCCTTGTAACTTCCCGTGTCATTGAATTCCAATTTATTTGTTTTATTTTCTCTGTAGCCAGCGCAAGCTTGTTCTATGTCATAATGCCGAAGTGACAAGCGTGGCGTTCTACTGCTTGCAGGTTGCCCCCAGAGTTCTTCACCATAGCTGCCAGAGGGATGTCGGCCCTCGCATGGAGCACTGAAGGTCTTTGCGAAGACGTTTCACCCCTTTTGTTGCACCTCTTGTCTGCACCCACTCTCCCCGCCTCTGTGGACCAAGCTACGCAATGCAATCTATGTGGTGCATGCTGTGCGGTGCACGAGGCGCCCATGATGCGCCCTCTGGCGGCAGCAAAGTGAGAACCCCTTTGTGCAAGGACTGACTGGAGAAGAAGGGAGGAGAAGAAGTATGACGGAGGATGATGAAGGAGGAGGACGAGGGAAGAGGAGGAGGATCGAGGCTGGAGGATCGAGGACGGATGAGCAGAGGAGGAGAGGGAGGAAGATGAGGAGAGGAGGAGGAGGAGGAGAAGGAGGAGGAGGAGGAGGAAAAGGAGGAGGAGGAGGAGGAAAAGGAGGAGGATGTGTAGGAGGAGGAGGAGGAGGAGGCGGGATGCTTCACCAGCTCTCAAGACCCGTCCTCCTGCGTGTGGTGTTGCCACGGTCACCGGTGTTGGTGGGTTGACGGGCGATCGCCGATGGCCCCCCACCCGCCAGCATCACCCATCAGGGGCAACGACAGTGCGTTCAAGATGTACATCCATATCCATTGCATCTCCGAGTCTCGGGCTCGCTTCCACAGACACCCGAGGCTCAGTGTATATGTATACACTTTTGGCCCCAGTGGTGCACCGCTGCTGTTTCGGGTGCAAGCCCGTTGAAGGCTCTGCGAACGCTAGGGAGAAAAGTGTTCCTCATGGTAGCGGAGCCGGGTCAAGCTCCGCGAACCTCCGAGTCTGGCGTGGACGCCTCCCGGTCCCCCGCTTCCCAGGAGCACGGCTGGGAATTGATCGTGGCGGCGGCGCCAAAGGCCGCAGAGGGTCGGCCAGAGGCAATGTGGCGGTGGCGCAAAATCGTATTTTTTTGTCCGCCGCCTTTTCTTCAAGCGTAGGTGCTGGTCGTGGCTCGGCCGGCACCTGAAGGGTTTCGCGGAATTGACGGTGGGTTCCGAGCGGCGGACCTCGCTATGACAACTCCTGAGCAGCGCGTGGCGCAGCTACAGGAGAGCTACCAGCATCTGTTCACGGAGTTGCGCGACAGGCGAGCTCGAGAGAGAGCGAGAGAGAAAGCGTTCGAGGAGGAGCTCGAGCGACAACGCCAGATGGCAGCTGGGGAAGGTGGCCGCGGAGGACGCGGCGCGCAGCATGAAGCAGGGCTTGTGAACACGATGACCCTGGGCAAGCCGGACCTCGTCCAAGGCGAGGAGGGCAAGTGAAACAATTTTAAGGTAGTTTTCAAGGCGTACGTGGGTGTGGTCAACAGTGAGACCGCGCGTGACATGACGATTGTTGAGGGTCCTGATGACGTTTCTGTGCTGAACAGCGACTCTGGCGCCCTGGCAGCGCCGTCTCAGCAGGTCGTACTACATCCTGATATGCCTCTGCCGGCAGCACCCTCTGACGATGTGCGTGAATGCCAGCGACCACCAGGGCTTCTTAGCAAGGCGGAAGCTGGTCGAGTACTATGAGCCGAGTGCGAGAAGCCGAGTTGCTGGCCTGCTGTTCAATTCCCTGTAGTTCTCCTTCGTCGGCGACGTCGATGATCGCCTGGGCATTTTCGAGAGAGCCGGCGCGCTGCGAGCAGCGGGGCCAGGAACCGGTCAGTGCGAGCATGCGCATCGGTATAGCGATGAAGCAATTGGAGGACGGCCCGCTGCGACAGCGCCTCCCCCTGAGCGCGACGCGCCTTCAGGAGTGGCAAGTCTTTTGGCGCGAGATCGCGGACATCCGCAGAACCCAGGCTGCGGTCGGCCAAGTGCCTATGTTCTCGCTGAACAGGGGCACGGGCTACACGGAGAAGGGGCCCAAAGGCAAGGGCGAGGACTCCACGGTCAGTTCGGGTTGCAAGGGCAAGGATTCGATGGGGCACGAGTAAGGGCCCCAAGTACACCGACGGTGGCAGACGCAAGGGCCAGGCGCGGTCGCTGGTCGATGCCTGGAATTCTGGCCAGGTGCAAGGCAGGCAGGGCAACGCGACGCGCTGTGCCTGTGGCGGCACAGGCCACAGGCAGAAGGACGGCCCACATCGCGCGGGGAGAAGAGGCGCGGCGCGCAACTTAGAGGCGACGCTGGCAGCCCTGAACGCAACGGGCATCTCGACGCAGCTCGGCCCGCGCAACGGCGCGTTGAGCACGGCCAGCGAGCGCGACGCGCCTGGGGCCAGAGCCCGCGCTCTCGACCCAGAGGTCCGCGACCGCTCCGACTTGCAGACCCGAGGCGGTCTACCTCGACGCGCCGCCTGCGGGCGACAGCGAGTGCCCGCCCCTGTTTGCCGGGCTTCACGTGACTGAAGGTCTCGTGGTGTTCGATAAGACGCAGCTGGCGAGCTTCGTCAAAGTTGCGTCGGCAGCCGCGCGACGACCTCGGCCCCCCCTCAACCTCGCGCTCAGACTACCCTCTCAAGGGCCAGCGGAGCGGCGACGTGGCGAACCGCGAGAGCGCGAGTGGCCGCGAGTTCCACGACCAGGACGAGCGCGCCGTCTTCGGCGCGCTGGCGGGCCTGGGCGCGCTGGTCAACGCCGAGTTCATGATGGGTTGCCGACGTGTCGCGCGCGCTGAAGAGCGTCTCGGAGATGGTCGACGCAGGGCGCCGCGTGCAGCGTGACAGGATGGCGACTTGGACACGCCTGCCACGTCCACCAGGCGCCGAGCGGCCAGCGGCGGCAGGCCACCCGCAGGAGCCGCGTCTATGAGATGGACCTGGGGGCGACGTGGATGCGGAGGCGCGCGCGGCCCACCTTTGCCCTCTCCCGGCGGCGGCGGCGGCCGACGGCGTTGGCGACCCTGATGCCGCGGATTATGTCGTGGCCAAGCGCTCCGAGGAGTCTGCAGCTGGCGTTTTGCAGGGCAGCGGTCTCGGAGGGCGCGCGTATCAATTCTGCGACGGAGGCTCTGCGCGACGCCGCCATCGGCGTCGGGCACCCGTGCCTCCCATGGCGCGTAGAGCACAGCGCCATGAGCATCAGCTTCGGACGGCGCAGACCGGATGGCAGGGCGGCGCGGGCGCTCGGGCACGGCAGGGCCTTCGGCAAGCAGCTTCCGCAACGCGGGAAGTTTGTGCTCCTCCTGCCAGGTGAGAAGGCACCGTCCACTCTGAGGGGCAAGTTTGACAAGGGTATCTACCTCGGCCCGGCCATGCGTTCCAGCGAGGTGTTCATCGGCGCGGCGCTGGGGGTCGACCGCGCGCGGGCGGTCAAGCTGCTGTTGCTGGGCGGGTGGCGCGGCGAGGGCCTCTTCGACGGCGTCGCTGGCACCTCCTCGGCGCCGGTCCGTCCTGGCCCCAGCGACGAGGTGCTGGTCGAGATCCGCGTCTCCGCTCCTCCTGGCTGCAGGCCCCGTGCCTCCTCGCCCCCCGACGGGCCCACCGGCGCCCCGGGAGCAGCTACCACCTCGGGTCTCAGCAGGAGGGCCAGCAGGGCCGAAGAGCGTCTACATCAGGAAGGACGCGGAACTTGCGAAACACAGTTGCGCCACAGGCTGCAAGTGTTGCAGGGCGGCGGAGCTCGGCATTCGACGAACTCCGAGCTCGGGCGCGCCCGGCTGACTGCCGAGCGCGCGTCGAGGCGGAGATGGCCTAGGAGGAGTCGCTGGCGGCGCGGCTCGAGTCGGTTCGCGAGCGCAAGTGGGCCAGACCTTCGGAAGGGGGTTCCTGCGACGCTGGCGGGGGCGGTTCCCTCGACTCCAGCGCTGGCAGCCTCATCGGCGTCGCCAGCGGCCGCGCCCGCGGCGCGTGGGCCCGCTGCCGTGCCCGTCGACGCCCCGATCCCCAATGGCGATCCGACGGGCGACCCCTCGGCCTTGACCCTGGACCTAAGAGCCTAGGGTGCTTCGGCGTGGAGAGGGCGGGCGCGACGGAGGCATTCATGCCGGGGCGGCTCGCGCCCATCTGTCGGCTGTTCGGCCCGGTGCGCGGCGTCTGCTCCGACCTGCGCGTCGGGCGGGGCCAGGGCGACAAGTGCGAGCGGTCCAAGTTCCTGAAGCTCATCGAGCACTGCGAGCCAGTCCAGTCCTGGCCCTCGGGCGCCCGACGCGCGCGCCGTTTTTCCAAACTCCAGCACTTGAGCCCTGTCGCGCAGAAGCGCGTTGACGATTATGAGATAGGCCACTATCACTTGAAATTCGCGCGCGACACCTACGGCATCCAGATAGCAAGGGGCAGCGTCTTCCTGCTCCGGCACCCGTGGACCGCTGCCTCCTGGAGGGCGGGCGTCATCGTGGAATTGCCTCCCCGGGCGTCGAGGTGCATCGCAGCGACCAGCGCGATCGGCAACGTCGCCCCAGATGCGACATGGATATCGGCTTGCGAAGAGGCCGACTGGCGAGATGAGCAAGTGCCCCGAGATTTTCCATGGGGCGCGCCAAGTCTGCCTGAGAGACACGGGCGTCGGCGTGCTTCATCAGCGCGTCTCTCTCTCGTCGGCGGGAACATGCGCGCGGCCGAGCGCTACGCTCCGCCGCTCCTGCAGGCCATGCTGCGCGGCCACAAGAGGCAATATCCAGCAGCGGTCCGCCCCGGCGACCGGCGCGTTGAACGGGGGCCCGCGCGTTGACGACGAGGAGCTGGGCTTGCGAGACTTCGCTGGCCAGTGGCAGGATTCGGCGAAGAGCGAGTTCTACGACGACCTCGCCATTGCCGATGGACCCCGATCTCGTTCGAGAAGGGCGCCGCGTGGAGATGGATTTCATGGCCAAGCTTGGGGGCCGTCGTGTCCTGGGGCGCAGCGCAGTCGAAGAGCGCGCGCGAGACGTGGGGCGGAGGCCCCCGGGCGCGCTCTGGGCGGGCGCGGACAAGGGCGACCAGGATCGCCCGGACTACAGGAGCAGGCTCGTGGCGCAGGAGACGTGGGTCCTAGGGCGCCATCGCGCCGGGTGACGTCGGCGCCGCTTTCGCAGCTACGCGGCCGTTTAAGTGCTTGCGGCTCGTCTGCTCGGCGGTCGCGTCGACCGATCCAGCCGCGGGCCCGTGCTTCGGCTTCCTGGACATCTCGCGCGTTCACCCCTGCTGCGAGATCAAGCGGGCGGCCACCCGCGGCGGGCCCC